AATGCATGTTACCTTGAGAAGAGTATAGTAGAGCATAAAATGCATGCTATAAAAAAAGTTGGCATCAAAGCAATTACTCTAAGCCAAAAGCATGGAAGAAGGGGTAGTGATACAAAGCCAAATACACCAATCTAACCCAAAAATCCTATTGATCCCGGATTTTGCAATTGATGTGTTTAACCAAGAAAATCGAAGGCTAGCTTATGGTAAATTACATTCATAACTTGTTATGCATATATGAGAGTATTTGTTTTATAAAAGGCTATTCGTGACAAAGAAAGATTAAGTATGTTATATATATATATATATATATATATATAAATGATTTTGGCAATTTCATTTGTTCGAGTCTTGAGTCATTTTTAGTTGTTTTTTTACGTTGCTTGGGGACAAGCAACGATTTTAGTTTGGGGGTGTGATAAGCATCAATTTAGTTGATGTTTTCCATCAATTTTAGTAATTCTCGGTTACTTTAGATCTCTAAAAATATCCAAATGTCAAGTATTTTTGTTTTAAAACTTATCTTGCTTAAAAATATGATAAGTAGAAAATAAGATCGTAAGTACCCAGTTTTAATGCTGCATTTTTGGGTTAAATTGTTTTATTGCAGGAATGATGCTGTAGGATGTGCTGCAGCACCTTGGAATTAAATTTTTGAGACAACCGCCTTTTTTGATCAAGTGGGACAAGTGGAATTAAATTGGACGGTGGAAAGAATCTTCTTTTATCTCCTTGAAGCTTAGCCATGGATGGGTATTGGCAAGTTGTCAACTTGCAACCTTCTTCCTTGTATATAAATAAGTTAATGCTTTAGTTAGAAAAGGACCGAAGCTTCACATTTTTTAGGGTGGCTCCAGCAACACCCATTTCCTCTTGCTCCATTCCATCCATATATATATAAAAGTCTATTTCTCCAATTCCAATTAAAAAATAGTTGTTGTTTCCGTTATTTATTTTACCGTTATTTATTTTATCGTATCTCGTCTTTTATATTATCATCGTAATTTATTGTCATATATTTTTCGTCATCTTTTATTTTACTGCAACTTAAATTCTTGTCGTAATTTATCGTAAGATTGTTATTTATAAGATTTTAATTAGTCGTCGTAATTTCATTTAGATTATCGTTACCATGTTTAATAATCGTCGTAATTTGTTTTATATTTCTCGTAACTTACTTTCGTCACTTATTTTAATTCTTCGTAGTTTTTAGTTTACAGTTATTTTAATTTTTAGTTGTCGTAAAACTTTTTTATTTTATGCAAATTTCTTTTCTCATTTTTAAAATAGATATGCAAGGATCCCGAGCAATGATAGGCTGACAACCTTAGCTTGAGTGTAGGGTAACGTTAAGATAAAAGATCGAATTTGATGATAGAATTTTGTTAAAAATATTAACAAATCTTTCCAACAATTTATTCAAGGTTATATTGATAAATATTACATCTCTATTGACAAGTTGAATTTTGCAGAAAGATGTTAACAGTTTGATGGACTTAGAGATAAGCCATCTCGAACACATCAACTTGAATAATACGAAAGTATACTCGAGAGAGTTATTTAGAATCAAGGAGACTTGTTTCATTCCGTACAACTTATACAAGGGATGGATTGTGCCATTGCCGGGATTGGTTTTATTTTGGAAAATTAGAATCAGTCCTTGGATAAGTTCCCTTCTCAACCTCGAGAGAGTGCCTTACACAAGCTGATATTTGGTTAAAAATAAGTTATTATCTATAAAATTTTATCTGATTTATTTATCCAAAAATCTTAACTGATCCCTACACCCTTGCTTTCTTTTAGATTAATTATTTGCATCATTTAGTTTTAAAGTTACCAAACCAAAAACAATTCTTCGAACTCGTCATCTGAAATCTAATCTTTTTCTGGACTTTATCTAAAACTTTTAACACTTTTTTCCCTGTGGATCAATATTCAGTATCTTACCGTTTTTATTACTTGTAAAAGATGACAGTGGGTTGACACGTGTATACTTGCATAGGTCTCATTTGCACACAGTCTGAGAGATTTTATCTTTGTATAGAACTCGCAACATACTCTATCTACTTTCATCTTATTGTGTTCTTGATTGTTGATCATTGAATCAAGAATTGCGAATTGATTAATCCAATATGGGTCTATCACTAAATCTTCAAACAAATCAGATTCGATACATGATACATTTAATGTTATTCCATGAGTGACAATATCACATATACCAACTACAAATATACCCGCAAGGTTAAAAGTCCCCAAACAAGGGCACAACACCGCTGGAAAGTGCGTTGCAATCACACATGATGGAGGTGTGGTTGAGGTCGTGGCTCCCAAAAGCAAATGGGGGAAAACTACTTGGATCAATAGATACTCATCTAAAGGAAAAGAAGAGTAAGGCACAATCATTTATCATCAATACATAAACCTCTCATGAGATTCTCTCATTAAAAAAACTATGTCTATGAATAATCACTGGAGGACGCTCCTAAGTTAATATTGATTCCAGAGATCAAAAAAATCTCAAATGAATTATGAGAGTGCATATGAGTCGGTGGACAAATCATAAATACCCATTGATGATATATCATACTGTTGCTCATAAGATGATAGAGCACAATAACATCGAACAATGCTCAGTTGAAAAATGTCAACGAAAAGCAAATATGGCTTAAACAATCCAGGAATATTATACTTCGACATACGAAAGGGCATTTGGTTAGGTAGTGCTAACCCACCAAGTATAAAGCCTATAGGACATAGATAAATCATTTGTCAAAAAGTGTAATGAGAACAATTAAGTCATAATGTATAAGGCTTCCCTTTGGCGCAAAGTTTCTCACAACATCCTGGATTGACCACGAGAAGACTTACTTTCTTGTGATGGATGTTATAACGTTCTGCTAATTAATTAACTTAGTAGTTTCTATAGGACTGGAAATACAACTCATGGATGTGGTTATTACATATCTCTATGGGGATCAAGATTCAGAGATATATAAAAGTGTTTGATGACATTCAATTACCCAAATCAAGTAACTCTAAACCAAGGAGTGAGTTTGCAATAAAATTGGAACCTTCACTTTATAGATTAAAGCAATCTAGGGGGACGTGGTATACCCGCCTAAATGAATACTTGATTGAGAAGATATATAAGAACGATGAACCGTGCCCTTGTGTATTTATAAAGTAAACGAGTTCTAGACTTTCAATCATAACTCTATAAATCGATGTTATAAACATAATAGACACTCTTGATGAAATAAGATAAATCACAAGCTACTTGAAATCTAAATTTGAGATGAAAGATCTTGGGAAAACTTGGTTTTGTCTAGCTACTTGAGTTAGGACAACGAGTTTGAGAAATATTATTCCACCGATCTACATATGTCCAGAAAATGATCAGAAGATTTACTATGGACAAAGTGCATTCAACTAACACTCCAATGATCGATCGAAGTGTTAGATATAAAGAAAGATCCATTTCGTCCAAAGGATGATGACGAAGAGGTGTTGGGAGCTGAAATTCCCTATCGAAGTGCAATAGGCGCATTATGGTACTTAGCACAATGTACTCGATCATATATTGTATTCTCAGTGAATTTGTTAGCTAGATTTAGCTTGGCGCCAATGCAAAGTCATTGGAATGGTATCAATAATATATTTCGATACCTAAAAGGAACCATCGACATGGGCTTATTCTTTCCCTACAAAGAAAAAGAATGGGGTTACAATACTTGTTAAAAGTATTAACAAAGAAAGCGTTATCAAATACAGTGAAACCCGAAATGATATATTAGTAGGCTTTGCTGATGCTGGGCATCTTTCTGACCCACACAAAGGTCGTTCCCAAACAAGATATGTTTTTACAATTGGGAACACGACGATTTCTTGGAAATCTACCAAAAAAACCCTTGTAGCTATCATCTTGAACCATTTAGAGATTATTGCTCTACATGATTCGAGAGTGTATATGGCTGAGGTCTGTCATTACACATATAAGATAGGCTAGTGGTTTAAGTTCAACCACTCAAAATCCTACATGCATATATGAATATAATGCAGCTTGTGTCGAACAAATGAAAGTAAGATATATCAAAGGTGATAATACAAAATATATTTCACCAAAGTTTTTCTACAATTAGCAACAATAGACCCTTCTTAAGATTCAAGTGAATCAAGTAAGATCTGAGGAGAATGTGGCTGATTTGTTTATCAAATAACTGCCTAAGACCACATTTGAGAAACATGTGGAAAATATTGGAATGTGGAGACTTTCCAAACTCCCTTGATTAATGTACGTATCAAGGGGAGTAGTAAACAAAAGAGGGAGTCTACAGTACATGCGATATTGATATGTTGTGCTCTTTCTTTACCCAATGTTTTATTTTTCTCATTGGGTTTTGTTCCTTGGTGTAAGGTTTTAGTGAGAGAATAATTTGCATACCGTATTACTTTCCTAACGCTCATGATTAATGTATGAATATAAAAGAGTATTAGACTAAAAGAAAAAGTCTATGTATTGCAAAGAAACTTGTGCGTTGTACTCTTTCTTTCGTCATAATTTTAATTTTTCCCACTGGGTTTTATTTTGGTGTAAGGTTTTAATGAGACAATAGTTGTGCACCATCATTCCTTTGACTCAACACAAGGGAGAGTGTTGTAGGATAAGTATGCCATCGTCTAAAGAATATGATGATAGAGATAAAGATAGATATATTAAAGTTAAATTAGAAGTGAAATATCTCGTAGTTATCTACTTGTAACCCATCCATATAAAAAAAGCCTATGATTAATGAGAAATACAGATTCATTCTCTCCATTCTATTATTATTTTCTTCCGGTTATTCTATAACAAACTCGTCTTTTTTAATATAGTATAGATTAATTAAAAAAATGTTAAAGGGATAATATTTGCAAAAAGCAAAGAGTACAGGGACCATCATGTAAAACTAAAATACGTATAAATTTGTTCCGTCCTATGAAGAGAATCCCACTCAATCCGTTTCTGTACCCCAGAAAATATCGAACCACAACCCTTGGTGTCCAAGATTTCAAAAGGTAACCCCTTTCGTTTCACAATTTAATCAATCCATTTTGAACACTAACTGCTTTTTACATTCAAATCCATCTTATCAATCGCTCCTTCGATGGATTTTTCTTGAAATTGCATGTGCGATAACCGCGGTTAGGGTTTTGCTTGCTCGATCGTTTCATTTTATAAATTCTGCCCATCTGTTGTTTGTTTGTGTTTCTTTCTGTTCGTCTCCATTAATACGGCCTTCAGCAGCGAAATTAATGGTTCTGTGTTATTATTTTATTACAAAGAAGTTGATTTTAGTTTTATGGGAGTATTGTATTCTGATTGCAGGTTTGTTCCATAGGTTAAATATCTTTTCTTGGTTCCGCTGTATTTTAAATATTCATTTACGGGAACGGTTGTTTGCTTTCTTGTTGTTTCTTTGTAAGGATTTCACTTAGAACTTTGTGGTCAAATTGAAGTTTTTTTCTCAATAAATGATGTGATTTCTAGTTTTTTTTTCAGAGCCAGACACTGTTGCAACGGTGGTGCGTTTTATGTAGTTGGTCATAATAGGAACTCAGGGTTTACATCTAATTGGTTGCAAAATAAAATAGATTTGCCAGAGGAGACTTACTCATATCATAATTTTGGACAATTTATGGGATTAAAAATGGTTATGGTGTTTTGGCGTCCTCGTATCGTATTTTGCCTTCAGTGTATTTGATCAAAGATGTACTGTTTCAGGGAAAAAAAATGGGCCGCTCAAACCGTACTTTGTATGTTGGCAATCTTCCTGGTGATATTCGTGAAAGAGAAGTTGAAGATTTATTTTACAAGGTCTGTTTTGATATAACATCATGTTAAAATTTGTTCCAAGAGAGGTATCCTAGCACCTGGGCCACATGATCTTTCAATTTAGTTACTGCCAGAAAAATATTATGTTATTCTTGTATATTTGTGTGTTCATTATCACTTACAAACGTTTACCTTGTTTTAAATTTTAAAATGAATCATGATTCACACAATATATGATTATGATATGAGATTCCATTACACATACAAATCCGGATTTGATAATCTGGGATTTTACATTGATATGTAGCTTAGATTGTTCACTCCATTCAATTCTCCATTATGCCTTGTTAACTTACCTAGTTTTTGTTACAATTGTTCTTTCTGTTGCAGTATGGACCCATTGTTGAGATTGACCTTAAAATTCCACCTAGGCCCCCAGGTTATGCTTTTGTAGAGGTAAGCATACATATTGAATTGGGGCATTTTTTCCATCAAACTTTCTCTTGCTATCAATGCTTGGTTTCTGTAAAAGATTGATCTTATATTTTGGTTCTTATCATCATTGCTCTATGATTTACCGAAATAGTTTTTTTGCATTCATTTCAGTTTGAAGATCCTCGTGATGCTGAAGATGCCATCCATGGGCGGGATGGCTATAAATTTGATGGGCACCGGTTACGAGTTAGTCATGAAAATCAATCTTGTTTTTATAACCAATGTCTTCTGCATTAATTGAATCAACTACATTTTTTGTCTTGTTAGTGACTTTTTTCATGTTTAAATGCAGGTTGAACTTGCACATGGTGGGAGAGTTTCGTCTTCAGTAGATCGCTATAGCAGTTACAGCAGTGGAGGCAGTCGTGGAGGACTCTCTAGGCGCTCGGACTATCGTGGTTTGTTCATTCTTCTGCATCAGTTTTGCATATGTTGTCTACCATTTCTATTTATCTGTTTGAAGTGGTTATCAATTTCCTGATATCGCTCTGCAGTTTTGGTCACAGGATTACCTTCTTCTGCTTCCTGGCAAGATCTGAAGGTCAGTCTAATATTTTTTTTGGGATTGTTCAAGTGTGCATGGGGGCAGCAAATGAAAATGCAGTTCATGAACTTGGATATCAATATATTGTTAAGAGCTTGAGTTGCTTGTTTGATATGTAGACAACCCCAATTCAACATTGATTTCTGACACCTCCCAATTCCCAAACACCCTTCCCAACAAAAGGACCATTATGTTTTGGTTTTTCTAACATGTTGTATGCAATGGGTATTGCCAGGATCACATGCGCCGAGCTGGTGATGTTTGTTTCTCTCAAGTTTTTCGTGATCGTGATGGTAAGTTGAGCTTCTTTTATTCTGCTGGAGCGTTTTTTATACGTTGCTGACTTTTTATGCTTCCTAAAATAAATTTAATGGTTATGCAAAACTTGCAATTAGATTTCTTAAGTAGTTAAACTTACCTGTGCATATGGTATTGTTGGAGCGTTACCATCATTTCTAGCAAGATTGTTAAAGTTATAAATTTAATATGTTCCATGTCTCCCTGGCACAAAATCATAATAGGTATATGTAAATTAGAACTTCATTATTTGAATATTCTGAATGAAAAATTTATTTCCGACAAATAATCTATGCCAACTTAACCATTTTTTAGAGGCAGTTTTGGGACATATATGCTCATCCACATTTCTTTAGCTAAACCTTAATTTTCTTGATTTGTATGAATTTTTTTTAACAATGCTAATCTAACTAATCCTAGTTACTCTCGCCCCTTAACTTTCTAATGCTCAATAATTCGACTTTTTACTCATCAATTTAAAGAAATTGATGAGCTGCTTTCACCAAAAATAGGGAAGGTCAAATTGAAGCACAAAATGGATTTTAATTTTTACTGTAGAACCTCTTCTACATTTTTACTAGTTACGGAATAATAAGTTCACTTCTTGCCTTACGTGTACAAATTGTTTCACTTTATAACAAATGTCAAAATTGTAACCCAATAGCTTTGCGATCCAATTCTGTTGGCCCGAGTTTGTAATTCATTGTTGAAGCAGAAATTTCAAACTCTTTTGATTTGTGTATACCACGAAACGTGTACCTAACAGATAGGCTCTCCACTGTTGCACAACTAAGACCTACACCATAATTTCTCGTTCATAAGCCGATTTATTTAGATTCTGTTCGCTAAGAGCTTTACTGAAGTATGCAATGGGTTTTTGCTGTTGCATTAACACTGCATCAATTCCTCTACCCGAAGCATCACACTCCACCACAAATGGCAAATTGAAGTCGGTAAAGCTAAAACCAGAGCAGAAATCATCGCCTGTTTTAGCCCTTCAAAGGCTAACTGCGCATCCTGACTCCATTGAAAAGCATCTTTCTTGGTCAAATCTGTCAAAGGCTTTGCTATACTCCCGTTGTTTCGGATAAACTTTCTGTAATATCCTGTCAGGCCTAAAAATTCTCTTAGCCCTTTAATCTGTTTAGGAGATGGCCACTTGAGAATCGCGACTATTTTATCCGGATCCATAGCCACTCCATCTCCTGAAATTATGTTACCCAAATAATCGATCGAAAATTGACCAAAAGAACATTTCTTTTGGTTGACCACAAACTGATTGGTTATTAAGATGTGCAACACCCTAGTAGTCTTTGATATGTTGAGACCACGAAGAACTGTAAACCAATATGTCATCAATAAAGACCACTACCAATTTACGAAGGATAGGTCTGAATATATCATTCATAATAGCCTGAAAGGTGGCTGGAGCATTGGTTAAGCCAAAAGACATCACCAAATACTCATAGTAGCCATCATGAGTTTTGAAAGCCGTTTCTCAATACGATCAGTTTTCATACAAATCTGATTATAACCCGATTTAGGTCAAGTTTAGAAAAGAAACCGAGCCCCTTTTAGTTCATCCAATAATTCCTCAACTACCGGAATAGGAAACTTGTCTGGAAGAGTAGCTTTGTTAAGAGCCTGATAATCCACACACATGCGCCACGAATTATCCTTCTTTTTAACCAAAATAACAGGACTCGAAAAAGCACTCTTGTTGGGTCGAATCATTCCCATCGCTATTAATCCCCTTACTTGTTTTTCAATTTCTTCCTTTTGAACATGGGGGTATCTGTACGTCCTTACACAGATGGGTTCATGGGGAGTTATTAGAGTGATACTATGATCGTGAATCCGGTTTGGGGGCAATCCTTTAGGATCATCAAAAACATATTTGAATTGATCGAACCTCCAATAATTCCATTGTTTGAGGACTGGATGAGGAAGACGATGTATGAATCTTCCCGGGTAATGTATTTGCCGACCAGAAAGCATTAGAGTGGTCCTCTAAAGATAACCAATTGTGCAAGGAAGTTTCGTTCTGAGAGCCCTAGACATTCCTTGAATACAAATAGAGACCCCTTGGAACATAAATCGCATGGATTGATGTTCCCAATTATGTACCACATCACCTAAGGTCCTAAGCCATTCCATACCCAACACCAAATCTAGATGCTCCATGTCAAATAACAAGACCTCTATGGTAAACTCACACGATCCTATCATCACTTTGAGATGGGACACATTTGAGTAACCAACACCTTATGTCCATCTCCTAATTGTATCCGGATACCCGGAATGAATACCACAGGAAGACCCAACGCCATAACCAATTTCTGGGAGATAAAATTATGGGTAGCTCCACTGTATACTGGTATAACCAAAGGAATACCTGAAATGGTGCCTTCAAACTTCAGGGTCTTACCACCTGAACTTCCACTTGAAGTTGCCCTAAAAAACTCCAATGAATTGCAACTTTCTGTGGGAAAATTTTCAGTGTCCAAAACATCTGTGTCCTCAAAGGACTCCATGTTGTGAATTTCTCCTTCTGTCTCTGCCACTTCATCATCCCCCAAAAGTAAGATCCGCGATTTACCTTCAGGGCATTTATGACCAGGCCCAAACTGCTGCCCACAGCGAAAGCACAATCCCTTCTTCCTTCGTTCACCCCGTGAAGAAGTTGTATCTAAGTTGGGAGAATTATTGACAACGCCCTGAGAACCACCGCCATCAAGAGAAGGTTGTTTCTCTTGTTTTGCCACCTACGCCATAACGAACTTTCGGAATTCAGCTTCACTCTTCATCACGGTTTCAATAGCCTGCACCGATGTTTTAATCTCCAAAACATCCGATTGCAGCTTCTGAATCTGTTTCTCATGTTGATCTACACGATTTTGCTGAGCACGCGTCTCCATTTGAGGCATTGGAAGATCACAAGCAGGTCGGACCAATGATGGGGAATGAGAAATTAAAGATGAAATTATGAGAAATTAAAGATGAAATTGATACAGAAATTCAATGGAGGAAGGAGGCTGTTTGATTGAAAATAGAACAAAAGGAAATTACACGCAAACTTTCCAGGGGAATCTTTCCTTCTCGTAGCACTAAGGCTAGAGCCAATTATCAATAACAGAAAACAAAAGATGTCCCTCATACGACACCTACCCTCCTCTAAAAAAACTCTCTCCTCCAACCGTTTTAGCCACTTTCAGATTGCCCCTTTTTAGCCTTCTTTTATACGTCTTCAACACTTGAGGACTGTGGATTATTTTATCTTGATCCCTATCATATGACTTATAAAAGCAGAATATGATTTTTTTTGCTGTTAATAGATAGTTCTGTTGAGTTCTATTAGACAGCTACCAGATGTGATTTTTTCTTGCTTTTGAGAATATTTTTTTGTTTCTCTTCAGTTACATGTTTATTCATATGATTAAAAGTGGTAAGATTCACTATGGGAGATCCGGGAATTTTTTAAGGCTGATTTACATGCTTTGCAGGCATGAGGGGGATTGTAGACTACACAAACTATGACGACATGAGATATGCGGTGAGTTTTAGAATTGGGCTAATATTTTTGCAGAAAAATAGTGCTCTCTCCCTATACTGGTTTAAGGGTGGAGTGTCACTATCTTGACAAATGGTATTTCTTTCATGCAACCTTGTTGATGTATGTTTTGTTTGTTGTAGATAAGGAAACTCGATGACTCCCTCTTCCGGAACCAGTTTTCCAAGGCCTACATACGGGTATGTGAAGTTGTATGTGGTGAATTCTTATCCTGCTGATGTTATGATTTACTCTGTTCCTTTACCCACTCAGGTGGAGGAGTATGATCAAAGACGTAGCTACTCTAGGAGCCGCAGTCGTAGTCCATATTATTCAAGAAGCAGAAGTCCAAGTCGCAGCTATAGCTACAGTAGCAGGAGCAAGAGGTATTTTGTTTTAGTTTACAATCGGTATGCCGTGATTTCCTTGATGTATACTAATCAAGTTTATGCAGCTACTCACCTAGGGACATTCGTTCTCGCCGTTCTCGTTCAAGATCAGTTTCTTCACGTCCACGATCTGACTCGTCTCTTACTCCTGCTTCAAGGTATACGCTGTACTTTAAGGAATATGTTTTTTCAATCCATTTGAGAGGCATCAGGACATCCATAGTCATTTTAGCTCATCATTTTGTTATTTGGGATGCATTATTGTTATTGTTCTTTTTTTACATTGGGCTGTTTGTGGCCAAGTTTCTACTACTCTGTTTAGTGTTACTTTCTGATTTTCATCCCTTCGTTATCATCCTCAAATTGTGTGCATCACCTTCACCCTTTTACTACTACAGTTCATCAAGTGTAGGTGTACAATCACCTGCCCTCTTTCGGGATGTATTATTTAATTTTTTTCCTATTCTGTGCTGTTGGTGGCCAAGTTCCTACCACTCTGTTAATTGATGTTCTTTATTTTTCCTCCCCCCAATCTCATCCTTGAAATGTGTGGTGTCTAGATTCATCCTTCCACTGCTACAGTTTATGAAATGTAGGGGTTCACTCACCTATCCATTTCACTTCCCAGCACCGGAATGAATGATGAATATATACATGTTGTCTCCACATCAAATCCTAAAATGTTAATAGATACATGTGCTGTTTCATTGCGTTCTTGCTATATCTACGTTTGAGAGGAACTCTACCCTTTTTTTGCTCAAGATGATACTGTTTATTCAGTTTTTGGTTCTTCTGGTATATTGTCACGGAGGTATATTCAGTGGAACTATTGGAGTAGGACATTACCATGTTCTATAAATATGCTTATAGAGCTGATATCCAATCTATCCCCTAGAAGTAGATGGGTGGTCTGGCTTTCTTTGGCAGTATGGACGATCTAGTTTTTGATCCATCAGTACCCATATAATTTTGTTGTACATTTGCTTTTACTTTCTATGGTTGAGCCGTAAGATGCACCGTCTCTTGGCTCTTTCTCTTGCCTTCCTTGGTACATAATTGGGCAACCATTGCTTTTGCTATGATAGCCTGATTTATTTTATTTTCACACAAAACAAGGTGGTCAAATTTTAAGATTTTGGGTGGTGACACTTGGATAATAACTAATAGATGTGTGTAAGAAATAAAAATGGTGCTGCAAATTGTTTCTAGTTCACATTATTTAACCCTGGTCAAGTACAGTTTTTCTACTTATGGAGGCTCGGTATACATATTCAGGAATTTAGTTTGTTTACAAGTTGTGGAGTACTATGTGCATGCAAATGTAGACATGGTGTAAAAAATTTCAGCTTGACCCAAAGGTGTATTTTTCTTTTGAAGCTCATGAGACTAAACATGGTATTTTTTATTTGTATACACTGTCCATGCTTCTTATTTTCTCCTCTATTTTTGTTGCACAATATATATTTTTCTGGTGGAAGGAGGACGAGAGTGAAGGAGATAGAATGTTTTTCCTGATTTTGATGCAAAGACTATGAAGCTTTTTTTCCTCATTGTATTTATGGCATAAAATATTTTTCAAGCTCGGCCAAAAAGTATATTTTAAGTGACATTCATATGGGGGTAAACATGGGCACTGAAAAACATTGTATATATTATTTGAATCTACAGTCCATGATACTCTTTTTTTCTATATTATACATATACATCTATATTCTGCACTGTTAAAAGGTCGATGGGGGATGAAGGATTTAAAAGGTTGCCCTTGGTTTTGATGCCATGATTATGAAGGGTTACCTTGTTTCTTTTTTAGATCTGGATTACATGGCGTTGTGGGGATTGCATGGTAGGGACATGGTGGGATATGGTGCGCAAAGTTGGCTATCTGGGGATTGCATGTTAGGGACTTGACAAGATGTAGTGCTCAAGGTAACTCGCTGGGTTTGGCTTTAGCATCTGTGGCAGACCCTTGAGCCATGGTAATTAATTCTTATATGTACTGAACTTGATAAAAGAGGATGATTTATTTTGTTTTAAACTGAACTATGATTGCAAACTAACTGGTAATTGTGCAACTAACTGCAAGTGGGTGATGTGAGGAAAGTTTTAATCACTTGGGTAAACCATCACTAACAGTCAGCCGGATTTCAAGGATGTTTGCCTTATTGATTGTTGGGATGCAAATGGAAAGGACTCTTTGAAAAGAGGATTTTTAAACGAGTTTGATTTGACCCGTCGGAGTTTTGAAATGAGACCATAATACTAGATGTTTGACACTAGGTATGTTAGACATAGGAATTAGATTCTGTTGGAAGATACAAATTATAATAGAAGTAGCGGTTCTAGGATATTTGTCTTTGAATTACTTTTACATTTGTGACCTTTTGCATCTATATGTTAAGTATTGCCTTTGAATAATAAGATACCACCCATTATCTAAATAACACCATGTTGAAGTCTTGAAGATGATATAAATTTAAAATATATTGTTGTAGACTCGTAGAGGTACGTTGCATGCATTTTCGTCATATAGGTCCATTTTTTATGCATTACGATAAGAGTCAAGGAGCTTGATTCTTATGTGGTAGGGTAGGTGATGCTTACTTCAAGATGCTGACATGGCATCGGCATGGTAGAGCGTTGATTTGATGAGTTAAAGGTTTTCTTGGCATTTTGAAGCCAAGTCGTTATATTTTGAAAACCAGTCGCTCTCAAGGCTAGGCGTTGGGGATAGTTCCAGTCTTCTCAGAAACCACTCGGGATTTTTCTGGTTGTTACCTTGAGGGGGTCCCCAGGGACTTAGTTTGAGGTGCATGCAAGCTGGCCCGGACACCCGCAGTTTCCAAAAAAAGATGCATAAGTTTTTTTTATTGTTGGAGCCTGTTTACTCACAGGTCCAATAGCGACTTCAATCGACTTTACATGCTTCCAGTTGGGCATGATTTCTGGTTCTACTTGAGGAGTCCTAGAAGAGAGAGATATATTACACATGATGTCCAAGTTATATGGGTTTGGTTCCGGGGGAGAATGAAAATTATGGTGAGAAGGGATTACCACCCTTGGATCAATCCTAATTGAAGATCAACACTAATGAGATTCACCGGATAAATTCCCATGAGAAGTGCAATTCATGGGGTGGGGGGGTGATAGTAGAAGTGATCAATGGTCCAAATCTCTTCTCATGCTTCTCCACTCGACTCCTATTCTCACACAATCCTTTGTATACATGTGTTGTTGGCTCTTACATGGTAATGAGACGTTTTTTTTTTACAACCTTGAACATCAAACAGTTGCAAAACAACGGCAAGTATTGATTTACGTGAACGTTTTGTAATCCACATGGAAATATGATGGAAAGAAGAACTGTTTCTTTTGAATGGGGTTGTTTATATTTATTTTGATTTGTCATGCAGGTCTCGGTCGAGGTCTCGCACGCCACCAGCATCTGTAAGCTTATCAGACAGATTTTTATTCTTCTAAAAACCGTTATTATTCATTTTCTAACCTATTCACTTATTTGATACCGAACAGTCTCGTGACCGTAGGCGGGCTGGTAGAAGCCCTAGCAGGAGCAGTAGTCAAAGCATTCTCCGTTCTCGCTCACCATCGGTAATGTTTAAACGCTAGACCATTACTGTCCAGAGATGCACAAGACCTGGGCTTTTTCAGGCCTAGGTCCAGGTCTTCCAAGCCTGTTTTTCAGTAAGCAGAAAAAAACCAGGCTTTTTTTGGCCCTCGGCAAGGCTTTAGGGTTGAAAGTGGTCCCGATCGGGGCTTTAACCTCACCTTGGAAAAAAGTTGGTCTGATCGGGCTTTTTTGGGCCCGACTTTGGGCTTGTGCTTTTTTGTGCATCTCTAACTGTCTTCATACTTGTGTCGTGGGGTAGTTTTCGAGGGTAATTGTTTTCTGATAATGATTCTTGTGTTGCGGCAGGTGATATCGGATTGAACTCTTAACATGGTGGATTGGAGTTGGGATGACTGCACACAGCTGACATCTGGTAATTCTATTGTGTTGCAGGGAAACATGTTAAGCTAGTAATAGTTTATGGATCTGGATGTTACTGTTACGGATTATATTGTGTTCTGTTGTGTTTCTAAATCATGTCTTAAAAAGAGTCATTTGATAGATATATATATATATATATATATATATATATATATATATAATGCTGAAAGCTGTTACCATCATGGTTATAAATATATACATAGGCAAATGATCGTGTGAGAAAGAGAGTTGAGAAGTGTAAGAAAAGATCTGGATCTTTGATCACCTTTAATCTCAAACTCATCCATGAAGATGGGGTGCATTTTGGTGTATCTCATTCTAATGTGCATCCAAGGGTGGATATCTTCTTATGTTTTTTAGCTTAACTCTTCTTTTCATTGGAACCAAACCCATCCATATATATAATGAGAAACGAAGGAACACCTTGGTAATCATTCAGCTGGATGGTTTGCATATCTGCATACAAATACTTGAAATTTTTTGGTTTTTATGTGGATGTGCATGTTACACATTTGCATATTGGAAAAATTGATTACAAGTTGCTTGTATGTGCATGTGTATATCATCCAAATGAATGTTTGTTAGGGCATACTTCAGTTAGTGCAAACTGTTGATTTCATTATTTAATCAGATGAAATTGTTTCATAAATTTTTGTTTTTATGTAAAAATGAAATTGTCTCTTGTATTTCTTATTTTGATGAAATTTGTTTTCTAAAAATTAATATAATAAAGATGATAGTGTCCATAATTAACATTCTTCATAATAATAATGACTAATCAATTCTGATAATTAAAAAAATGTTGAAAAAAATTATGATTGATTGGATAAGGTTTATATACAAATAACTTGGTTTGTATAAAAAATAAGCGTGGCATAGCTAGTTTTGTCACTAGTCTGTTCTTCAACTTGCATGGCTAGTTTAGTCCAAAATGTGTTAGTGAAGTAGTGACTCTCAAAACTCGGTCCACTTTTAACTGGTTTTTTTGACCATTGACTGAGCATTACACGGTGTTTCTGAAGCTAGGGGCTGGTTTAAAGAAACGAAACGAAGTTTATACATGGATGATCTATTTAAAAATGAATTTGTATCAACATTACATATTATTCATATATCAATTTACATATGTATCTTTCAATGAATCTTTTCGAAGATTTACATATAAATCTTCTATTTTCACGGTATTTAACTTTTTTATTTAAATCTTCTACTAAATACAAACTGCTTGCAACCTAAATGGGTTGGACATTCAAGACTTGGTAGGTAGAGATGGGCAAACTAGTCAATCGGTCAATTTTTGAACTGGTCTCAACATACGATATGCTTGAACCGTTCTTTTTGTAACTAGTTCTGGTCTAGACAAGTCTTAAAAGGATCTGTGTCCTTTATTTTATTCAAGATATTAACTATTTCTTAATAATATTATTACTACTAAATGTGTTAAAAATATAACATGTTTTTTACTCTAATCCATAACCATAACAACTATAATCTGTATAAATTGTTTAACAACCATTAATATTAAGTACTTGAAATTTTATATTATGGATTTAATATGATTCTTAAGTCCTCGATTAACGTATTTTAAAATTATATTACAACTTCGACCGTAATTTTACTTACTTATTTGTATGAACCTTCAACTTTCATTTTTGAGTTTGTTAACCTTTTTATTTGTTATAATTTTGATTTAGCTTCGTTTAAACACAAACACTTAGCTAGATTGTAAATAATATACCAAAGTTTCAACCCAGCCAACCCATACGATTCTATTTTATCATTTCATTTGAAGAAAAATCTGTTGAAAGAGAAAATGAGTGTTGTGGCGGTGAGAAGTGTTCTTGAACAAATCTTTTGTTCAAAGCTGTTTGAAGAGCTTGTGATTTGCGGTGTGTTTTAAAACTACAGAATCTGTGATTTGTTAAGGTGAATTTTTAAACTACCGTTGATTATAATCTGTGAGTTTGAAAAATACTGTTGATTATACACTGTGAGTTTTTGATGACTAAAACCTTTATATATATTGTTATATAAACTGCTGGGTTTTGATGTTGGTTTTGAAGAAAAGATGGTAAAAACTATTTTGATAGTTTAAAGTTGTTATTGTTATATATTTGAATATTAAAAACTGTTTTGGAAAAGATAAAGAAGAGATTGCTTCTTTAAAACAGTTTGGGAAATGAAATCCTGTTTTGAGGATTTTAAAGGGGCATGATGTTTTTGGAAATCATTGAAAGAATAGATTGTTCTTGAGTTTGAAAGGTTTGAATGATAAAACTGTTGGTTGAAAACTATAGAGATATATTTTTTTGAGATGATTGTGATTTTGATCTGTCTTCATTTGGAATTA